AATCATGCAAATAAATCCTGTTTCTATGCAGGAAGTCACCACTTAATCACGTGTTTATTCCAAGCTGAAGTGAAAATCCAGTCAGAGCCTTACCCCTCTAATGGATGGAGCTTCTTCACCTGGCACAACAGCCTGGCCTTGCATGCCATGCAAAAATGCAGCCAGGTAATTCATATGTTTCCCACAGACAACATGACAGAGGAAGAGATGGGCACACTTGCCTTCCTCTCATGATGAAATCACCCCAAGCAGGAGTTGTGGATTAGTGGGAGGGGATGGAGAGATAAAAGAGACATTGGATTTGTTCATATTAGTGCTCCGAGCTCAGTTGAATTGTTTCTTTTTTTCTATCTGTCCTGATTTCTGCTTCTGTTGTTTTTTTGTTGGTGTGTACACAGAAAAGTAGTGAGTGTGCAGTGGACTGTGCTTGCAGGATTAGTATGGTGTGCAGTCCTTCACTGATCTAATTTTAGGACACATCATATCCCCCCCTCCTCTCTAGCACAAGAATCAGGGTTTATTTTGTACAGGATTCATGTCAAATAGAAGGGTGAGGGTAGGAGATGGTAGTGATGAAGTAATCCTCTTTTTGTGTTTGTGAATGCATGTATAAGCATAATCCAGCTACATGTATACTGAATTACAGAGGGCTACATCTATCTTATAGTGGCATATATAGCATTGAGGTTTTAACTGCTGCTTTTGGACTCTGCAGTGCAGTGTGAAGGGCTGAGAAATCACTCTTCTATCAGCTTCATTATGATGACTGTTTTGCCCTTTGAATGTAATGAGACTGCCTTTAAAGGGGAGGGTTTCTTGGTTGGTCATCCATTCCTTGCGCTTTGTAAAACACACACATGCACATAGACACCATCTGAGGGTGTAAAGATACGTACACGAGCACTGGACATGACTGGACAGTGCAATAGCAGTGTTTATGATTTGAGATGATGTCTGCTTTCTCTTTAAAGTCAGCTCTACAGACATAGAAGGATTGTCAATAGGGAACGACAAGCTGCATGCACTGACATGGAATAGCACGCTGCTGCCATGCATATTTCATGCTAGTGGTCTGACACGATATGCACAACAAAGCACTTGGAATATAAGTAAAGTTGGAGGATGGTGCACATCTGCTACCTCTATAAAGTCACCCATTGTATAAATGTGGCTTTCCTTTTAGCCACGCTAGCGGCTAAGGATGGCAGTGCTGGTCTGTTGCTCCACCACTTTGCTCCTGACATATGGGTCTCAGCAACTACTACTTGGATTGCCATGAAATTTTGTGCAGATATTGTGTAGTAAATTAATCCTTATCTCTCTGATGATTCCCTGACTTTTCCTACAGTACCACCACATCGATATTTGTGTTTTTAAGTGAAATATTTCAAGAACTATTTGATGAATTAACATATCATCTGGGACACACTTGTATGTTCCTGTCTTAATTTTGTTCCATCATTAAGTTAAAATTTCATTTTGTCCTGTTTGGTTTTACAAATCATACAAGTTACGATCATCTCAGCTCTATGGGGGTGACTGTGGTTCAGTGGGTAGAGCAGTCGTCTCCCAACCAGAGGTTCAAATCTCGGTGCCTGCAGTTCACATGTTGAAGTGTCTTTGGGCAAGACACTAAACCCCCAAGTTGCCCCCGATGGTTAGAGCCATTGGTTGAGTTGGCTGCCTCGGTTCTGTACCGGAAACAAATTCCTTGCCTACTTGGCCAAATAAAGGTGATTATCATTATCCTATGTTGCATGTTGTGCTAAATAGGGCACGTTAGCACACAGGGTCACAGGCCAGAGCCAATCCTGGCCGGCAATCGGGCGAAGGCAGGGTACACCCTAGATAGGTCACCAATCCATCGCAGGGCTAACACACAGACAAACAACCACACACGCACTCCTATGGGCAATTTAGAGACACCGGTCAACCTAAGCTGCATGTCTTTGGACTGCAGGAGGAAGCTGGAGTACCCGGAGAGAACCCACGCAAGCACGGGGAGAACATACCAACTCCACACAGAAAGGTCCCGAGTGGGGCCTGAACCCGGAGCCTTCTTGCTGTGAGGCAACGGTGCTAACCACTGCGCCACCGTGCTGCCCCAAAACATTGTCAGAGGACAATAATTCAGCAGAACAGGTGACTATATCCATATTGTGCATTTACATTTCACTTTGTAATATTGGATATTAAAGAGATATGACCCATATTCACACAGAGGGTACAAGGTATTTCAAATGTTACATAATGCAATGCATTATGTGTAGTCAAACCTCTGTATGAAATATGAATATGAAATAGTGCAAATTGGAAATGGTCCAAAGTGACAGAGCACTGCAATTCTGTGAAAGCAAACAATCAAAGAGCTTGTCTGTCATTTTCTCTTGATCTGAATGAGTAAAAAAGGCCTGAGGATGGACAAGCGTAGTAAAAAAAACATATATTAAAATATGATATCTGTGCAAGTGAATGTGGTCTGGCAGCTCTTCAAGGTCAGACATCTGTGCAGAGGTGCACATCAGCCCTCTTACTACTGACAGGAGGAAACAGGAAATGAAAGGTCAGGCAAGGAGGAGGAGGAGTTGGGGAGTAAAGGAGAGTCTGGACACTCAGATGTAGTGATGGGAACAGAAATGGAGAAGCTGAAAGGGAACAAAATGAGAGGACAGATTTAAGGCTGTGAGTGACCTGAAAGTTATATTCACATTTTCATGTCCAGTTGATTGAAAATGTAAACTTTTTTTTCCATCATCTTAGGCAGCTTTGTCTGCAGTAAACAAGTCACGCTGAAGGGGATATGAGGACAAGACAGCATCAATAGAGTGCATACATCACTCTGTCACCTGGCATATCGGTGCTGATTGTCCTGGACAAGAAAATGGATGAGAAAACCAGTTTTTTTCTGCCTTTCAGGGAGGAGCATGGACATTCAGTCTCTATGTACTTTATACACCTTAACATAATAACATTGTAAAAGCAGCACTTTAGTGTCCTGGGGCTTAATGGGATGTCCTACTGATGCTGACACATCACTGGAAAAATACACTCTTAACTTAGGAAGCATGCTTCTCCATGCAGTTTAACAATATGTATATTAGAGTCAGGAGAGGAAGGAAGTGCAGTACTGACCAACACTCTGTTTAATTAAAGATCTCTTGGCTCTCACAAGGGCTTTGAACAGTTTGACGCTCTACTGATAGAGATGTATGATCCATTTGGGCCAATGGTACAAGCCCAGCTCTCTCTTGGCTCTAATTTATTGATGTGCCATGCTTATGAAAGTTTTCATTTATTTTATTCTTTTTTAGCCCAAGCCTCAGTGGGACTCTGCCAGGGACAAAGCACTGACCATTTTAACCTCTGATTTTTTGAGGGTATCAATCTGCATTGATTCTGCTTCCCTCCTCTGTCACCCAGCATGGGTGCTGGTCCAGCCCAGACTCATGGCACGCTTTCCTAATTTAGACTCAGAGCCTGTTTTAATTGTTAGTGCTTGACATCTCATGGCCAGTGGCTAAGCTAGTAATACATGTTGTCAACATGACAATCCTGAAAACAATCAAGAACACAACAGGGCATGTGACAGTGATGTACCACTTACACCTGCATGCTGTGTTCATGTTTGTGTGAGAGGTCCCTATCACTTCCTGTCCTGTCAGAATTTTTGTACATGAGTATGTGCTGCCAGTTTGTTTTGCACCGTGAGTCTGTAAGAGCTTGAAAAGGAAGATGGGGACATGAGACAAGCCTCCAAAAACCTAACGACTTCAGAAGATTCTGGAGTGAACACATCACCCTCAGTGAAGCAGATGTCCAGCTGTGTGTGTGTGTGTGTGTGTGTGTCTGTGTGTGTGTGTGTGTGTGTGTGCGCATGCATCAAAGAGACCTTCTCTGTCACCTCCTCTACCCTTTCCCTCCTCGCTCCTTGAATATCAATGAGTAACCTGAGGCACAAACACAACGCAGTTTCAGACTAGCGGAGTCTCAATTACATCATCATCAACCTCAGAAGCACACAAATGAAACCTAATTTAAAGAATGAAGCTTGTGCTGCTCACCACTATATCCATGAATCTGTGAAACAACTCTTGGTTTGAATGCATGAATGTCTGCATATACTCTTTAAAACATCTCAGGCTTAGATTAGTTTTCACTGGAAACTTACCATTTAAATAGAGAATAATAGAGACTTTCAAACCTATCTTCTACAATACTGAGTAGATTCCATTTTTCTTAATGTCTCAAATTCAGACTTGAACAGTTCAAACATTCCCGCATGTTTATGAAAGCTGTTGCACAAGTTTTCTAATTGTGGCATTTGTGGCAAACAGGTCACATGTCAGATTCCTCTCCTGTGCAGTCTGTCACAGCATCGATCTACTGGAGCATGTCTAGTACTGTATATATAGCAGCAGCTTGAATCCTCATGCACTGGTAGGACCAGACAGACCACCTGAGAACTCAGCCTACACACACACACACCCACACACACACACACACACACACACTAGAATACACAATGGTAATAACAGAAAGCTTCTGTCCACAGTGCTTGTGGCAGCAACACAGTCTGTGTTTGTCAAGTGTAGTCCGTCTGAAGAAAGGCAACATTTTAAGGGTTGTTGAATCCTTTTCTGTAAAATAAGGGTTGACGGGAGAAGCAGCCAAAACAGAGGATGTGGGGATTTTGGGGAGGAGAGGTGAACAGGACCTGAAGGCTCTTCTTTTGAGATGCAGCCCATCACTGGATACATCCAACAACCCTCTGCACTGTTTTCTGCTCGCAGCCTCTCCATCTCTTTCTCTTCCTCCACTACGGCTGATACCTCCCTGATGGCACACACTAGCCTGGTCTTCATCAGTGATGTTAAGCCTCTTTTCTCTCCATCCTACCCCCTCTTTACCCTACTCTCCTTGCCATGCAGAGAGGAAACAGAGCTCTGGAGGGATCAATCATTGTCAGGAGAGGGGGAAAAAAAATCACTCATCCCTCTTACCTTGCTGCCCAGTGAAGAGGAGAGCTTCTCTCCTCCAGGAAGGAAATGGAAGTGCGCACATCCACACTCACATACACTGGTATACACTGCTTACTCACATCCACTCACACACGGGCATACTCTCTTTCATACACGCAACAACGAGGAGGGCTGGCTCTCAAGCAAGCGCACACTGCAGGCTGCCGCTTGCCTGGGAAAGCCTGATGCGTTCCTCCCTCCAGGCAGAAGCACACATTGCCATCTCAAAGGCTCTTTGTTAGGGCTGATTCACCCCTCAGGTCCATGGCTGAGCTCTGGTCAGTGTACGAGTGCCTGCTCCCGAGGACGCAGGGTGGCAGTACAAAGGAGGGACAAAGCCATGAAGAGGAAAGGCAGCATCCAGGAGGAGAGGATTTTGCGGCACCATAGAGCTCCTTCCACCACCCCCCAACCCCCCACCCCCTCTGCTCTGGCTCACTCATACACACACTCCCTCCTCCCTCTCTCTCCCTCTCTCTTTATCACTTCCCTCCTTCTCTGCCTCCTCCCACTCTCTCATTGGGCTGCAAAAGAATTGATAGCAGCTTGTGCATGTGTCTGCGTGTGTTTTTAAACTGGTTTCCAGTGACTGGAAGGAAAGGAGAGCTCTTCTTCACCTCATCACCTGGGATACCCCCCGTCTCATTTACAAGTAATGTGAGTGACATAAGAACATGTGGGTGTTGCTGTTCAGTCAAATACATTATCTATAGAATGACAGGGCCAGAGATGGCAGAAGGGGTTGTTGTTTGTGTGTGTCTGTGTGAAGGAGGGGCATAGTGAGAGGCTTTTTCTGTAAAGGGTGCAATCCTCCTCAATCTCTTTTGAGATCACTGTGACCCAAAATTCTCTGGGGATGAAGGCACGAGAAGCTGAAGTTTCAACACTGCCCCAGTCCAGCATGCTCACGATTTTGACTAAAACCTTCCATTCTCTTTTCACCACAGTCATTTCCTGAATAATTCATACAGTAGCTAAGACCAGAACCAATGCAGGAAAATGTATTAGGGTCAAGTCATTCAGAAATTGTTTGCAGAGTGAGCCAGATTCAGGGAATCCATGTAATACATGGTGCACTGATATGAGAGATGCTTGAAAAGGCAATGCAACAGACATAAATAATGAGCTATCTCAAGTGAAAAAGGCTCCACTGAATGTAATCTGCATAATAATGACAGATTTGCCTGTTGAGGGGTATGGCTCTTTTACTCTTGCTTGTTAGCATTACTGTCACTGATATTTCTTGGCATTGCTATATTTTACTGCCTCTGAGACTTTAGTTTTCCTGATTTCTTTTGAGCTCTGAGCTGTGGGCGAAAATAAACCATTTTTCTAATAGATGTTTTCCCAGGCAGAAATATGGTGGCTATCTCAAAACAGTCCTGTTTCTTCAGTCTATTTTAGCTAAGCTGTTTATATACTTACACTTACCTCTGTGTGTCCAATATAAAGGACAGCTGGACAGGTCAGTTTATGAAATACTTGCACTTGTTTTCATGATGTGTACTGCATCACAGCAGTTTGAACAAAGCAGCAAATACACGATTTTTGCACTTTTCTACAGAAAACATATGTTCCTCTTGTCCAGAATTCATTCATTGTATGTCGCCTTTGTTATACATTTTTTAAGACACAATGGAGAGTCACTGTAACAAAATGTAAATAATCCCTGGGATTATTTACATTTATTTATCTTTGCTTGAGGCAGATCCTGAAAACAGTACCCACCCTTTTAGATTAGATTAGATTAGATCAACTTTATTGCCATTACCCATGTACAAGTGCGACAAAATGCAGTTTAGCATCTAACCAGAAGTGCAATAACAGCAGTGAAGAGTGCGCAGGGTCTACAGTATCTACAGTATCTACAGTTTTTACAGTCGGAAGTAATTTACCGATGGATATGTACAATTGATATTTACAGTAGGATATGTAGGGTAATGTACAATATACAAAAGACTATGGATTCAAATTACAAGTAATGGACATATAAATATGCAGGTTGCTGTGAGTCACAATTATAACATAAAAAAGCCACAAATATGAATATATATATAAAGTCAAAATTATTCATCGAAATAATTATTATTTTTGTTATATACCAAGTCAAACCTTACTTACTTAAAATTCTAGATTATAAGAAACTACATCACCATTTTCACTTATATAGGTCAAAGCTGACTTATTAAATCAATTTATATATTATGACTCACTAAGCCAAAATTATTAGATAGCAAGTCATAATTTTGACATACTAAGTCATTTTATGACATATTTAGTCAAAATTATTGTAAGTGATTTTCACTAAGTTAAAAATATAAGGTAGTGGGTCAAAGTATTGGAAAGTAAGTGGAAATTATAAATTTGTATTTCAGAATCACAAGATAATAAGTTAACATTTAAAACAACTAAGACAATAACTATGACATAGTAAGCCCAAATGTTGAGCTCCTGTGTGTATCATGACTAACCTTTCATTCTCTTCTGGCTGATGTCAGTCTCCACAGTAATAACACTGCAGAAGGCATTGGACTGTTTGCTGCTGCAGTTTCACAGGCCTGTTTCTGTGCCTGAGAAGCCCAGGGCAGTTCACCTCGGTGCTTCTTAGACTGAGAACCTTTTATTAACTGGTGCATTCAAACAGGTTAAGAGCCCTGACTGTACAACATGGCCTACACAGAGACTGAGTGTTTTGTCTATCAAAGTAACAGTGCTGGACAAAAGCTCTTCTCTGAGGGTCTGTCCAAAGAGCATTAGGGTAGCTGGCTTTTCCCATCTCTCCACTGCAGTAAAAGAAAGCTATGGATTTTCTGTCTGAAGTGCAATTGGAGTCAGTGGCTGCTTGCTTTCATGGGATAAGCTTTTAATAAGTGCTGCCAAATAGTGAGCCATAGACGATGCATTATGATTTGTTTGTGCTGTGTTATTATGAGGGTAGTGTAAAATGTTGCATCATTTATCACCGAGTTTCAGCTGCTCTCGGTGCTAAGCCAAAATATAAAGAAGACAGTTTGTTAACTTGCCAGTTGGGAGGCTCTTGGCTGCTAGTATCATATTTCCAGTATGAGATTAAAGTCTGCTCCGCCAGTGCTCCACTCTCATGTAAAAGCAGTAACACCCTGTGCCCTAGCACATCAGGTAGTGCCTCTTGGAGACTACTCTGCCCATAACTGCAAAGGGTGGATTTCACTTGCTAATGAGCCAACTACCTATCTTCCAGCCATTCATCAAAGTCTGCCCTGCCAGTGTGTGTGAAGTGGATCCCATCATCACAGCAGATTAGGTTTACTCCTGTCACTTTAATCAGCGAGCTTCTGGGTCAGCTCTCCGTACAATGATTAAAATTTGGCCATCTGAAAACAAGATATGCTAAGGGCTAGAGCAAGTGTCCCATGCAGGGAGAGTTAAATTAAGTCACTTCATTACAGTAAGAAGCAATAATAATGACATTTATGACCATTTAAATGCAGTCTGTTGCTGTTCTGTTTTTACTATTACCAACCAGTGCTGACTCTTCACAACTGCAGCAACTACAGTCACTACTAAATTACTCTTGCAGCTTATTAGTAATCCAAACACTATTACAAGGATTGCAATCCATGTTTTCCCTCACACACTCTCTGCAGACAGCACATTACTGTCTACTACTACAGCTTTACTGTCTCAAACAAAAGAAAATATCGCAATCCCACTAGCCATCAGCCAGACATTTTAAAAACTTTACTGAACATCAATGACATACAGTCTTCAATTGACCTATTACTCAGCCCAGTTGCTGAAGGCCTCCTCCAACTATGTTGGAATTGTACAGAAAAATCTGCTCAAAATAAAACAAGAAAAAACAGCACAGACAAAAACCACCGTTCTTAACAATACAACTGAGAAAAACTGATAAATGAATTATTAAGAGTGAAATTAGGAATAACTAGGGGGAGTATTTCTGCCTTTACATTACTCGGCCCTCCCTTTGAATTTTTAATGACTTAACGCAACTAAAACACCATCTTTGGTTAAAATGACATCTAAAAATCTTTGAGTAGTTGGACCTCTGTGAACAAAAATATTTAGAGAAGAATTACACTAAAACACATGAAAGTAACTACATGACACTCTTGTGAAAATGAAGGTAAAAATTCATTAAAAAGAACCATCAAACTATTTATCTTTTTAGATGATCAGTTTGAAACACTGGCACTAGCCTGATCCTTTTGATCTTTAACCTCCTCCTGAGATTCATGTACTAGCTTTTTGAAGTAGCGTTCAGCACGCAGTTCTTCAAAGCAGAATTCAGTGGCGCCACTGAGCAGCAGCTCTTTACAGTACATGCTCTGCTCTTGTGGTTTTCCTGATTCTGTCTCCTTCTGCTGCTGATGGTGCTCCTGTAGTCTTTTTAGAGGGGTCTCTTCTCTGCAGGGCTTACGTGCTGTCAAAACTGTGTTCACTGTTGGGTTGATCTTACATGGAGTCCTGATGAAGGGGAAGAATAATGTATTTGTATCACAATCATAACCTGGAAAAATTGGACTCTTCTTTAATTTACAATGATATGAAACAGAGAAACTGCAAAACATAGAGACTGTAACAGAACGTAATTATCTAATTTTAGAATAATCCATTCATCGGTTTTAGGAATATGATGCCTTCTCATCATCGACAACCTGAATCTATTGTGTAAATTAAATGTTATGTTAAGTAATAAAAGCAAAAACTGCAGGTCCTTATAGTCACTCACATTGTTGGAGGCTGGTCTGACTCAACAAATGGTTGGAAAGTGGGTTTGACAGGTGGTGGAGCCATAACAGTGTGTCCAAATTTAGACTTCAGGGGCACCTAGGATGTACATACAAATATTAACTTGACAGCAGCAGGTTACATAACACATTTTTAGATCAACTAATGCTCTGTTTGTTCATCTCATACCTTCACATCACACCATTTTTCAGATCTCTGCTCATTCTCCTTTGTTCTGGAGGTGGGAGGAGCCATCCACACCTCCAACTTGGGCTCTGATGGACCAGCACTTTGAGTCTTGTTCTCATCAAAGATTAGTAAACGACTGTTTGAAGTACTGCCATGTACAGGGGCACCGCGTGATGGCAGGCCTCCAGAAACACCTGTCCACAAATGCAGCAAACACTGAAATTGAACATCTTTTGCAAATATAATACTGATATTAAAAATATAGAAAGGTGATGGAGAATTTAAAGTGTCAGCTGAATATTTCACACATTTGAATGTTTATGATGCTCTTACTTTTGATTGCAGCCCCAGTTCTGTTGACAGGGACGATGGCCTTTTTCTTTCCTCTGTGTTTGAGGTTGGCTAGAGAAACTCTCTCAGGTTGTTTGTGCTCGTCATCGCTATCATCCTCCTCCACATTCATCATCACCTGTCGAGACACACGTGCCTGCAGAGCCCTATAAATAATAATAAAATTGTGACTATGATATACCTATTAAAAGCAGGAAAATATACCCTTACAAACTCAGATCCTTATCTCAAACTGTACTGCATTGATCCATACTTGTGAAATTGCAGGAGCTTATCACAAGGCTCAGCACACTTCTTGAGTCCTTCTTGGTAGACCAGGTCTGCTTTAAGACAGTTGCCTTGATTCTCATACTCATCAGACCAAGCAATGTAGAAGGATGCCTGTGTCACTCCTATCCCCTGCGTTTGCATGTACCTGTAAATGTCCAAGGGCTCCGGGCAATTCTCTGCCTAATGACACAAAAAACACGTGTGGCAAATGTTATTACTGCTGCATTACTTTGTCAAAGTAGCTAAATTAGCCAGAGGTGAAAGTACTGCACGTACAAATTTTATCCAGAGGTCAACATAGCGAGGATCGTTGTGATATTTCTTTTCTTCTGTGAATCTGGTCACAACCTGTTCCAGCAGTGTGATGAGGTTGCTCTCCTTTCCTCCCTGAGGGAAGGTTTGCTCTGTCCACTTTATATACCGATCCCAAACATCAAGTGGATCGTCTCCATCATATATTCTCAGTTCTGATTCAAAGGCCCTGCAGAAACACATAAATCCTACATTATCGTGTAAGAACTGCTGGTAAAAAGTACTCAACAGGAAGTGCTACTACCCGATACGTATGTGATTTTATTTAAAGCTCATCCATACTGTCTCTGCTGGTTGATGACAGAGTTGGGTCCATCCTGCTGTTGACTGAGCGCTTGGTGTAAGGCTGATATGGCTCTGCCGCGCCGCAGCGGCTGGATGTTTTCTTTGCTTAGCTCCCATTCCACATCTCCTCCCTCTGCCATTATGGAATTTAGGACAACTAGATGCCTACAGAGAGACACAAGCATGTCTGTGCTATTAGATTTGTTTATGTGCAATTGTTCTCATCTACAGTGTGGATCACTGAAAATAATAATATAGATATACTTAATATACATACATTTGTTTTAGATTTAATATATTTAATAGACTGTAGACCGAATATTTAACTGGAGAATTTCCGGCCTTAATGTTACATTTTAACATGCAATGTAACGTGACTTTTCATTTCTTACAGCATTCTTTAACTATGGCTGATTAAATGTAGTTCATTATACTCAGCCTATCATAATCATATTACTATTAACATAAAGCTTAAGATGGTGTTTGAGTGTGCACACTGAATAGGTGTCAAGTCATAGAAATCATAGCACATATGGGCAATAAGGAGATGTAATTAACTACATAATAACATACTTGACTGAAGCACACCTGTGATATTCCCAGTGTTCTAACTAGGTTACTTACGTTAGTAAAGATATTATGTATAGGAACCACTAGCTAGCTAACATTAGCTTTAGCGTAATCATTGTTGTCATTTTCACAATATTAGCGAATTTTACCATTCACATATAATAAAACAAAACTTAAGATCTAATAAACTGCCATTTTCATACCACTTAGAAGCCTTCTTTGTCTGTTGTTACAGCCAAAAACCTACAGCAGGATCACTGTTAAACGGTCAACTTAGCGTTTTGAATACGGACCGCGAGACAACTTTGAAAACGCTGATTGGATGAATTAGAAACAGGAAACGAAATCTGACGTCACGGAGCATTTTCCGGAATGTTTCCTGTTTTGATTATCGCAACATTGAAAGGTTAAAGGTAGACAAATAGCTGTTAAATTATGGTTCATTGAGCCTGTTTTTTTTGTAAATATTTGCCCGTAATAGCAATAACGGCCAAATTCTAATCGCCTGTTTCACGACTCTCTTCCGTGTCGATATGGACAGTCGGTGTTTTTGTTGTGCATCAAAGTTCAGTCTCTTCAAAAAGGAGGTATCGTCTTGCTTGCTAATATTAACATTATAGATATACACACTGCAAGGAAACTAAACAGTGTTATTTACGTAGCTGTGTTTCCACAGCTGGGCTGTAAGAACTGCGGCCATTCCTTCTGCTCCAGTTGTTTGACTTTCAGTGCTGTGGTGCCTCGCTGTGGCAACACCCAGCAGAAGGTGTGCAGGCAGTGCCATGGTAATCTGACAAGGTAAAGGTCAAACCCTGCAGAAGAACAGAAACTAAAGCCTCAAAGTGTCTTGCTTATCTTTGCTTCTTAATTTTTAGTCAGGGGTCTCAAAACAGTGCTGGAAGATGGTCTCCTCCTGAACTTTACAAAAAGTCAGTATTTAATCATATTTTAAAATGTATACTTTGGCAACAGATCAGTTTTCTGATATCTAAAGTTCATCTTTCTTTCATAGACGGGTTGCTGCACTTGAGGCCAAACAGCAGGGACAGTCAGCACAGCCTCTTGCACATGGAGGCAGTAGAAACAGCAAAGCAGGTCATCTACCAGCCAAAGGCCTGAGTAAAGAAGACCAGGCTATTACTGAAAGGCTTCAAAAGCTCAAGGAGGACACTGCACCAAGTAAGGAATTTAGATTTTTATCAACTGCCATTTTGGCTTCATCTGGCAAATACTTTAATCATATAATTACTTCTTGCCAAAGCTGTTACGAGCATTTTGCCTCTTCAGAGTCTGTACCCTCTGAAAAAGAGCTTGAGTCTCGCCTTGCTGCTTTGAAAGCTTCCAGCCAACTACCACCTTCTGCACAGGAGATGGAGGACCGCCTGGCAGCTCTACGGGGTCAACCACTACCATCTCAAGCTTGTCGACCTGTAAGCTAAGCCCCTACCTACTTGTTTGTAATGATTTGGGCCTTACAGTACATCTCAGTGACAGGTTAAAGTGTTTGATTTACAAAAAACAAAATATTTTGGTTTCATGTTAATTACTCATCAGCAAAAACTGTACAGTGGGTACGGAAAGTATTCAGACCCCCTTAAATTTTTCACTCTTTGTTATATTGCAGCCATATGCTAAAATCATTTAAGTTCATTTTTTTCCTCATTAATGTACACCCAGCACCCCATATTGACAGAAAAACACAGAATTTTTGACATTTTTGCAGATTTATTAAAAAAGAAAAACTGAAATATCACATGGTCATAAGTATTCAGACCCTTTGCTGTGACACTCATATATTTAACTTAGGCGCTGTCCATTTCTTCTGATCATCCCTGAGATGGTTCTACACCTTCATTTGAGTCCAACTGTGTTTGATTATACTGATTGGACGTGATTAGGAAAGCCACACACCTGTCTACATAAGACCCTACAGCTCACAGTGCATGTCAGAGCAAATGAGAATCATGAGGTCAAAGGAACTGCCTGAAGAGCTCAGACAGAATTGTGGCAAGGCACAGATCTGGCCAAGGTTACAAAAAAATTTCTGCTGCACTTAAGGTTCCAAAGAGCACAGTGGCCTCCATAATCCTTAAATGGAAGACGTTTGGGACGACCAGAACCCTTCCTAGAGCTGGCCGTCCGGCCAAACTGAGCTATCGGGGGAGAAGAGCCTTGGTGAGAGAGGTACAGAAGAACCCAAAGATGACTGTGGCTGAGCTCCAGAGATGCAGTCGGGAGATGGGAGAAAGTTGTAAAAAGTCAACCATCACTGCAGCCCTCCACCAGTCGGGGCTTTAGGGCAGAGTGCCCCGACGGAAGCCTCTCCTCAGTGCAAGACACATGAAAGCCTGCATGGAGTTTGCTAAAAAACACCTGAAGGACTCCAAGATGGTGAGAAATAAGATTCTCTGGTCTGATGAGACCAAGATAGAACTTTTTGGCCTTAATTCTAAGCGGTATGTGTGGAGAAAACCAGGCACTGCTCATCACCTGTCCAATACAGTCCCAACAGTGAAGCATGGTGGTGGCAGCATCATGCTATGGGGGTGTTTTTCAGCTGCAGGGACAGGACGACTGGTTGCAATCGAGGGAAGGATGAATGCGGCCAAGTACAGGGATATCCTGGACGAAAACCTGCTCCAGAGTGCTCAGGACCTCAGACTGGGCCGAAGGTTCACCTTCAAACAAGACAATGACCCTAAGCACACAGCTAAAATAACGAAGGAGTGGCTTCACAACAACTCCGTGACTGTTCTTAAATGGCCCAGCCACATCATTCCCGAAAAGACTCATGGCTGTATTAGCTCAAAAGGTGCTTCTACTAAATACTGAGCAAAGGGTCTGAATACTTATGACCATGTGATATTTCAGTTTTTCTTTTTTAATAAATCTGCAAAAATGTCAAAAATTCTGTGTTTTTCTGTCAATATGGGGTGCTGTGTGTACATTAATGAGGAAAAAAACGAACTTATATGATTTTAGCATATGGCTGCAATATAACAAAGAGTGAAAAATTTAAGGGGGTTTGAATACTTTCCGTACCCACTGTATGTGCTCATCTGTACAGGTGCACCGGCCTCCCGATAACAGGACTCAGACTGAACAAGCCAACTATCTAATTACTCAAATGACAGAGGAAATTGCAATTGATGATCAACTATTGAATCCTGAATGCAGTAAGATATCCCTCCTAGCATTCAATTACTAATCAATAATCCATTATATCATGGTGTTATACAGCAGGGCTCCAGACTAACATTTCATAGTAGTGGCACTGGTGTCACCAAGTCTCACAGATGGTGGCACCATCTCTGTTTTACAACATAATGCAAAGGAATCTCTGTTTTCACAAGTTACTTTAAATAATCCTACCATCCAGTGTGCAATTACTTTTTCACATAGAGCCATGTAGGTTCAGATAGCTTTTTTTCCCTTAATAAATAAAATCATCACTTAAAAATCACATTTTATATTTACTTGGGTATCTTTGTCTAATGTTTAAATTTGTTTGATGATCTGAAACATTTAAGTGTGACAAATGTGTGAAAAAATAAGAAACCAGGAAGGGGCCAAATACATTTTCACAGTACTATAAATAGGCTAACAAGTTATCCACCTGTTAAGCAGCTGTCTGTGGCGATTACACTTCAAATGTGCCAAAGAAACATTTGACTTGGAAGAGTTAAAAAGAGGTCCAGGAATGACCTGTGTGTCTCAGAGTCAGTGTGGATCGACACATTTTATAGATTGGAAATCTCTCCTTTGTGAGACAGGCGAGTGAGAGGCCTGCAGATAAATGTTGCGATGACAGTATCATTGAGATCATTACATCTGTCCACCATTTCTACAGCGGGAGGGGTCGTTCGTGTATAACCTGTTTATTTTGCATTCACAAACAGTGCGACCGTTGAAAAAAAGTCAGCCGCACCTTAAATAAATTTGGTCACAAAATGCGACTGGTCACTCACAGTCTGGAGCCCTGTACAGTCATAATAAAGAATACAGATCATGTCACTAGTTTCAGATACCAAATCTCAGCTCGTTCAGTTACTATGTGGATCTCCCAAACATTGCAAGTGTAGATGGCCGCATGAATGATCTCAACAAGGGGGAGGGTGGAACACTGGATGAGAATTTGGAGGAGAACCAGTGTGAGGTTAAGCAGCTGGAGGCTGAGAAGGCCCGTGTGCTAGAGGAGGCTATGGAGGAGCTGAGGAAGGAGCACCATTCCCAGGATCAGATCCTCCACATGGCCAAGAGACTGGCTCAGCTGAAGGGGCAGGACCCAGAAAAAGGTACATCACACACAAAGATTTTTCCTAACCTAATATGTGATCCATAGTTCTATAACAGGCAGTCAGAAAATGTGATAAGGACTCTCACTGTAAACACTGTGGCTGCAACAAAACAGTCAGAAACATGTCATTGTTGTGTTTGTCATGTCACTTGTAGTTACTATGGCGGACTTCCTGCATCCTGACAGTGAGGAAGAGACTGAGGAAGAAGCTGTAAGGAGAGTGTTAAAACAGGTGTGGGACTTAATGCAAAATAATTATTATTATTATAAAGTATATTTATCAGGGACCACATGTAAAAACACAATCTCATACAGTGAGAAAAGACATCTTACACCAGAGCTAGCTAATAGCTCATTTCCATCTGCATACCCAGGGCAGGTAGACACAGAACGGGTTGACAGTAAAAGTAGCAAATACAACCATGTAATGACAAACCAGTAAGTTATAAAAATTCATAAATACAGTCAGCATACAGAATACAACCCCCCCACCCCACCCCCTGCTACATGCACATGCATTCCACTATCCTACCCCTACAATCCAACAATCTCTTTTATATAAAAAAAAAAAATTTATGCAATATTATGTGTTATTTTAAAAACTAGTCAAACTTAGGAGTAAAAGATGAATTCTCGAAATTCAAAATATTGCATTTACTTAGCATTGGGTGACAGTGATGATACAGTTGTGGTCTCCTGTCCAGGATTGATGAAATGAACTTCATATTGTAATGTGGATGAGAATGAATGTGACATACTAAATTTGTTACTGAAAACATGTTTCATGCTTAAAGATCATGGTAGAGCCAGCCACAGGGGGCTGCTGTTTTACCCTTTAGTTATTTGTATTGTGAATGAGAAAGTTGTTCTGAAATTTCTGTATGTATCGTGTTTGTTCCAGCTCTCAGAAGAAGCAGCATTAGATGAGGCCAGTGGCTACAACATACCTTTGGAACAGAGGGGGCCGAGGAACACAGAAAAGAAAAAAAAGTCAAAGAAACTGGTAATAAACAACAACAAATGTATACACTTCTCAAGCCATGAGAGAGAATGACCTTTAATCCCTTGTTGATCTGATGTTTTGTAAAGACCCAGGCGTCGGCACCCAAGAGCAGCATTTCACCAGGTGCTGTTGCACATCAGCCATCAGACAGTGACGAGGATGAGCTTCCATGGTGTTGCATCTGTAACCAAGATGCCACACTTCGCTGTCATACCTGTGATGGAGATCTTTACTGCAACCGCTGCTTCAGGTAACATAATATACAGTGATCATAATAAATATAATATAGGAATTGTGGTTTTCCACTCAGAGTAGATCTTTTTATGGATATCTTCACTCTGATGGCCAAGAAAGATGCCTGTAATTTGGAATGCATACCATGACCCAGATAAATTATAGGCAGGCTGCTGCCATACTGTTAAGCAGCATGACTATGAAGTATTTAGTATGATGAATTATCAATCCACACTCCGTTATCTCCCCAGGGAAGGCCATGATAAATATGAGAGGGGGGAGCATTGCACCACTAACTACACTGCACCAAAGAAGAAGAGGAAGATGTGATCGTGAGACCGTAGATGTTTGCTTTATCAGGCTCTGGTCAGTCATTAGATTTGTGCTTTAGCCTTAATTGAGCCATTATTGCAAATAAAATGGTGTTTCAGAAGGTTTAAACACCACCTGTTACCCAAATCATGCCAAAACTCCTCAAGTTTAACCACTAGCTTACCTTATCTAATTTATCTTAAGTGTCTATAAATAAGGATTTGTGAGGACTGTGGAAACAGCAGCATCTGCTTTCTGTAATGGCAAAAACATTGATGCAGATTAAACAAGGAAACAGTGGCTAACATGGTAACATTCATGGTAAAGTAAAGAGTAGACAAACTTTAATGTAAATGCAATGAAAATGTGTATAAAATGTCAAACATAGGTCATATTTTTTATGTAATGTATAAAAATAGATGTACATACATCTTGCAGAGGCAGAGCTGTTATTTCTGTGCACGGAGATGTCTTAAACTTTAACTCCATAAGACACTTTTTTCACTTGTCCTACTTCCTAAACACAAAAAAAAGCTCATCTTAGGCACACTATGAACTTATCATCTGATTTTTTTAAAAATTTTGACAGCATATACAGAAAAGCAGAGCTGACATATCATGAGCTCTTCTGGAATGATGTACTGCACAATCCAAGACTGCCGTCAGCTCAGGACTGAAGAAGCACCGAGAAGTCAGTATAAAAGGATTACAGAGGGCTTTGTTGTCTTCTGGCAGACACCGCAGTCACTCTTGCAGTCACATGAGTATTGCTTTTCTTGTCCTTGTGTGTAGTTTCATTACAAAGGAAGCAGAAGTGCTAGGTGTTATGTCACATCTCTTGAGAGAACAGTGTGTTTTTTTTTTTGTTTGTTTTTTTTTCAGTCTTTTTCTAATTAAAGATATCACTACGTGACAAAAATGCCTCCATCTGGCAGAAGTGAAATGCTAGAGTATGGATGACCTCCGGATTAGAGAAGCACGAATGGAAGTTGGGGCGAACCAAGGAAATTACTATAATGGAGACCTCAGCTGAGACCCTCTCCACAAGACAGAGAGAAGGCCGGAGTGCAGTTTCATAAGTGTGCATTACTGTCTAGCTAACTGAAGAAAAACCATAATTACTCTCTTCTCCGGGGCCTCGCTCCATTAAGGTTTATATGGAGGTCGTTACTGAGTTTGGCCATGTTGTACACACACCACATACAGGAAATGGATGAGAATAATGGATGCATACTTAATGGCCCTTCCTGCTGTTGATTTCATTGTGTTTACCCCTGGACTTGACATGTGTCCTTTGTTTCAGTCACTCTTTAGAAAATGTAACGTTAATGTTAGAAAACAGAACCGTGTATTCTGGAACAACAATCCTGTAGTAAAGTCTGAACAGTCGGGCATTGTCATTATTAAATGCAAACAGGTGTTTTAGAGTAGTACTACAGACCAGCTGCCGACAGTAGTTCAATTAGTGCAGTAAGTGGATGGGTTTAATCAACATGTCAGTATTTATGTATGTGTGCGGAATGAACACCTGATGGTTGGTCCATCACTTTGTTGAAACTTACAGGTAACCCTGTTGATAATTCAGAAAAGACTTGTTGAAAATGTTCCATTTTATTTTGACCATACAGCATTGTTATTGGAGCAGAAGTATTTATGTACATAAATAGGCAACTGAAAATGTACAGGAATATTCATGTGCACTATTGGTATGTTTAAGGGAGACAAACTGTTGTAGCAGTCCATAAATTAAAGTGAAATCATAATATAAAAAAAAAAAAATCCATTCAAAACCCAACTGCTCTCGTGTTGGACTGATGCTGACCCCAAAAGAGGGCAGATGGTAGGAAGAGAGTCCTGCTGGCATGTGAACTGCACATACAGGCATCCAAACAGTTAATGCACAGGTGATGGGAAGAGAGGAGGTTCCTCATTGTCTCAGTTCTTTATTTGACCTGTGATTATTTCTTCAAGGGACCTGACATTTTACGTAGACCCTTTATCCTGTAGAGTAGCCCGCTGATAAAATCCTATGGGGAGATGGAGAAAGGTTTTTTTTCTCAGACAACAGTAAAGACGTTATATACATATATATGTGTACATTTCTCTGCTAATGGCAACAACTCCTAAGAAAAAACAGAAATATTCTCACTTGGCATCGCTTTCTCACTGCAAACATTGCAATGTTGCATTACAGCAAGGGTCAAGGGCTTGTTAAGCTATTAACCCCACAAAGCAAATAGTGGGTGTCAGTTAGGAACTGGGTGGTAAAATGTTGTTGTTGGGACTCAAGTTGTCCTTTATTTACAGAATTATAGTCTTTTGGTACCAGTCCCATTAAGCAACAAATGATTGAATGCTTAAATAAATAGCCGTTGTAATTTGCTGAGCCTTACCATCAGCCGGGATCTTTGTCCCTCATCTGACAGCTCCAGTAGCTCATCTATGTCTATCTCTAACTCTGGAATGTCTTCTTCCTTTAAGTGAAGAGAGAAATAAAAGTTAGAGACCTCTATTACTATATTGCCCACATTATTATTTTTGTATGCCACAAAGCTCTTGCAGACATTGCATAATGAGTTTCTTTCCATCCTTTGACACACAGTGGTAAGACTGTCCACATGACTGAGCAGTTATTCAGGAGGAGAAGAGTGTAAGATGCAGTAGTATGTAAGCTGTTTATTGTTAAGTTTTAAATTGATGACTCCATAAGATCATTATATCAATTTAAAATTAAATGTACTGCACAATAAAGTTTGAATACTTTCTGAACTGACTGTACTTTTACTTCTTCTTCTGAATTAGTACTGTTGGTAACTTTGTAGAAATAAAGATAAATACTGTTTCTTCCCAAATAATTACTCATAATGATGCAACTGGTGTGCGGTGCTGAAAGGCTCTGAGGCATGAAGGCACCAGTGTTCCAGGAGGCCATACTTGCTGCATGCAACCATCAGATTTCACGGATGGTTTACCCTGCTGGCATTTAGCTCAGCCATTACTGAGAGCTCTTTCCAGTTTTACAGTGGATACATTCATCTCAGACTCATGTTGTATATAACTGAAATAAGATACAAACCCAAGTGCTGCATTAACTTTAATATAGTGAACTGAGGTTTTTTTTTCTTTCTTTCTAAAATATAACCATTAACTAGACAATGGCTGGCAGCACATTGAAAGATTAATGCCAACCTCATATAGAGATTTCTATATAAAGAGCACAAAGTCTCCAGTTACGCGGAGCAAATATAGCAAAGTAATCAATTCATATCATGGGGTCTAATCCACACCTTTCAACTGCATTGTCAGTGTTGCTCACTGGAGGAATCCTGAACACAGGGATGTCTAGAGTCAGCAGGTGTACACTCATATTTGACAAGTGGGGCCTCTTTTTAAGATGAATATTTTCCAGTTGAGGAGTTTTCATGACTGGTGAGGATGGGGCTTGTACAGCTTTCTGGATGAAGAGCAAACTAATCAATGTGGAAGTGCTGAGCGGCAGAATAGATGGGCCCACCTTCAGAGTCCCTGGTGCCCACTCTAACTCATACAGGCTGTCAGTTTGGGCCTGCTGATGTCTGCAGGATGGATGCAGGGCTGAACTCTTGTTTTTCTTTTCTTTTGTTCCGTGCTGTACATTTTTGTGCTGTGTGGGCTTTGCTGTACCAGCTGTAATGTGTTAAACTTTTTGATGGTCATTCAGTTCTTGTTTTGTGCTTTAACAGAGTTAGTCCAAGTATTTCTAGGTGTTTTGTGTTTAGAATATAGTGCAGAATCCTAAGTCTACCCCTCTTCCATACTCATTGTTCATGAATTGCATATGTAAACTACATTTTAGCAGTGAAGCATTGTTTTCTTAATTTTGCCTGCAAAAGGCTTGATTCATTCGTGATTCAGACAGAGGGTATAAAACTAGTAGTAGTGTCTTTAAATGGTTGTTTTAAAAACCTACTGTTTTGTTAACAAAATACATGAAGAGTAAATGCCAAAACAAAAACCTGTATAAAAAGAGACTATTCCTTTATTTACACTGCTTTTAAACCTCCTTAGTCTGCCCTGTAACTTCAGGAGCACACAGAGCTCTACTGAATATCAATGAGAGACATTTTCACTGCGCTGAGAGGAACATGCACATTTATCATGAAGAAATGTGATACGACCCTTCCAGTAACTTTTCAGTATTTTAATAGTGTGCACAGTCGCAATATTCAGCTTGTTGAAAGTTACCTTCATTGTCAGAGGAAAATAGCATTTTAATGAGGCCTCTGTGCAAAAATGTCTCAGCAGCACTTTTTGAAGTTAAAAGCAATATATTGGAGCTAAAACAAATTTTGGCACTAATACCAAAGTGGTTCTTCTGTTTCCAACAGCAGTCCAGATGCAGTCTAAATAAGCCATGGGACTTTTTCCAGATTCACTGACCTCCATTAGAATTTATAATTCAGAATCAGAAAAGTTACATCATTCTCATGTAAACGGTCTTATACTTGTATAGCGCTTTTCTATGCATTGCAGCACACTCAAAGCGCTTTCACGCTACTTGGCCATTCACACATTCACACTCACAAATGCTCACACACCGATGTTATCACCAGGAGCAACTGGGGGTTCAGAGTAGCAGCAAGTGTTCTTAATCCTTTTTTGATATGTATTAGGTGTTGTCTTGTTGCACCAGTACTATGGTAGTTTTATTTTTTATTTTAAAGAGGAACACTTTGTTAATTAGTTTACTAAATAGAAAGACAAGTACTTTCTGAGTCATGTTAACTTCTTAACACAGTTTCACACCTGTACACTAAATATATTGTAGCTAAATACAGTATAAAGCTACAGCCAGGTTGGCCTAGCATAGCTTTGCATATAAACTGGAGACAGGAAAACTGCCAGTGATCAAAATATAGCATGGGGCACTGGTGGAGGGATTTTAACAAAGCTAGGTGTTTCCCCCTGTTTCCAGTCTAGTTTCCAACTAACTGGCTGTTGGTGGTCAGTTGTTTTCATTTCAACCAGAGAGGTAATGAGCATATTTCCCTTAACAGAAAGTTTTTTGTAAAGGTTTTTGTTAGACTTACACTGTTTACAGCTCAATTCCAAAGGAAACTGTGCCCAGGAAACCTAATCATTGCTCATCATGTTCAAGAACAGTTTTTCACTTTTTTTCAGCTTTCCATTTCCCAAAAGGTGTGAAGTTTGCAAAGAAAAGGTGGCCGCACCAGGCCAAGGCAGCACTTGTATGAATTAGAGATGTGGCTAAATAATTCAGGTGGTGACACAAGGGACTGATGGTAAATGCTTCCACATGGAAGACTTGGAGAACCAACAGAGTAACCTTCCCCTGAGCCCATGCAAAATTCATTGTACCAGTCGGTGCACATAGACAAGCCATAACTAGTGGCTAATGCAAATATTCAACTAGGAAGCAAAGTCTTAATTTTCATGTGGATGTAGATTATTTTCAGGCAAATTCCACAGAGGAGGGACATCAGGTAACTTCAGGTATTATCATGATTGATTCAAAGAAATTTCTAATGTTTTTACTGTCTTTCATCATCAGTCATATAAAGATCCTGTCCTTATAGCTAGAGAATATCCACATTGTATGTGTACTGCACAAAGGGTTAGATTATGTTAGAACCAGAAAATGAATGGCACCATAATTGTATGTTTCTGGGACAAGATCAAAAGACTAGAGACAGATTTCAGATCTGAATTTTTTTTTAATCCACACCCTGGTTTCCACTAATTTGATTTATTCTACCCTGTGCTTTACAAGCATATTACCATATATTTTTATGGGGAAGAACACTTTGAATGTAAAAGCTCATAAAATAAATATTGTGATGAGGAAAATGGCAGCACAATATTAAAAATGCCTATAGCACTTGGCTGTGGCCAAAGTGTTATAAATTAGAACCAGCCAGGTTTAACCCTGCCTATCCACTGGTTTTGATACAGGTGAGCAAAGATAACTGGAGATGTTTGTTATAGTTTAACTGTAAAAAAAACAACTTCTATTTCAGTCCGTCTGTCAAATGGATGTGGGTACATGCTCATGCTCTGCAGCATCATTATGTACCATATGCATAGGGCTCCTTGACTGTTCCAGACCGAGAGGTAGCTATGGGTTATCTATAGCCAAAGGTCTGCATGTGGTTTCAGAATGAAATAAGAACGACTTTGTCTGTGTGTTTTCCGGCATGAAATGGAGGTGTTGTTGTCATCTGATCTGCATCAACATGCTCCTTAACAGACACCCCTAATTCCACTGTGCCATATTGTGGGCGATGAGACATCTGTTACCATGGTTTCCCCTCAGAGGATGCCAAGCAAATCAATATGGAGCCTCTGACATAATTGGATTATATCCCACTCTACAGGAGTGGAGTTTTGAAGGTTTTGTTGCTCTGTGTGTGTGTGAGAGAGAGAGCTGACTGATGTCTTGCTGTAATAGCCTGCATATATTCAAATACAAACATAGCCATCTATGCAATGAGGCGCTCTATAGACATAATAGCCACATATATAGTATACATGACATAACTCCTGTATGCACTGTTAATAAAAACAACCTTATATCTTAAAGCAAGTTTAGAAAAGGTTTTCTGTATGGTTATTTATCCTTCAAGGTTCTGAAAGTATGTAGTTCATACATAGTAATTGAGTGACTGTGTTCACAAGAATGTGTGTGCAAACAAAGAGACAGGACACCCACAGGTCCTGAATGTCCTGGATGGCACCATATTAGCATGCAGTATTTAAAGTGTATTTAGTATAAAACATCTTCTATTCTTCTGTCATTAGCTTTTATTGTTATTACTTTTCCAAGCACTTTACTACTTTATCACAGTGATAATGCTCCTGTGCTCTGACTCTGTTCCCCCTCAGCCATTCTGCTGCAGATCCTATAGAATCTTTGCTATTCTGCTTCACACTGTATGAAACCATCTTCTAATTGCCTATATTTGGAGGCATGTGACAACCATATGTTTAGAGTGACATTGGTGTTGTGTCATCATAGTTGCAACATGCCCTTAAATGCTTCCTATGACTTCAAACATAAGGATAACCACCTTTATTGGCCAAGTATGTTACACACAAGGAATTTGTTTCTGAGGCAGCCATCTGCGGCGCCACCTCAACCGATGGCTCCAACCATCGGGGGCAACGGGGGGGTTCAGTGTCTTGTCCAAGGACACTTTGACATGTGGACTGCAGGTACCGAGATTCGAACCTTGCAAAATGATCTTATAATGATAGAACTCCACTGTGTGCACCACACAGCTGATACTGCAGTCAGGTTGATGACACTTGATGGCTTCTGTGCCAGAAAGTGTGACCATGAAGCACAGCTACTTTCCTCCCACTTACTCCTTTATAAGGTTGCTGTAATTTCTCACCCACAGCAAGCACCTATGAATAGGTCATTGCCTTCCATGCTAACTTCTCCTCCTCAGGCACCCAACAGTGTGTATCTGAATGTTAGTGTGCGTGTGTATATGTGTGTGTGCCTTCCCCTACCTCACAGTCAAACAACAGGTGCAGCTGCCCATCGATCCACTCTTCAATATCCAGCCTCTTCTGCAGGTCCTTGCGGTTGTATTTGACTGTCAGCTTGCCCAGCTTGCGATGCGCTGGCTCCTCTGTTTTAGCCTTTGCCTGGAACATCACCCTGGACTGGGTGCTGGGCTCTGACGCCATGGCTGCCACGGCCTTAGGAGAACCGTGGAAACACACTGAGCTGTATCACACACACACACACACACACACACACAGACCCACACCCTCTCTGACACGTCTGTCTTGCACCCCAGCTCCCCTGTTCTGTTTCTGTATCTCTGCTTCTATTTTTCCAGTGAGCTGGTGTTCCCACGAGTATCTCCTGTTGTCTTGTTAAGTGTTCGTGCTCTCCTTCTCTATAATACTGGCTCTGGCTCTCTGCCTGTCCTTGTCCTGTCTCTCTCTCCCTCTCTCTCTCTCTCCAAAGCTCAAGCTCACTGTCTTGCTCTCCTTCCCTCCTCCTCTTGCAACACCCACTGGCTGGACTATCAGGAGGATGTAATGAAATATGCCTCTGTGCGTGTACGAGTTTGTGCATGCATGTGTTTGTGTGCACATGCACCTTATAGGGTGTGTGTATGCCTTTTGCCCTCTGCCACTGTTATAGCAGGTGGGAGAACATAGGTCAATTGCAGCAATAGTGCAGAAAGGGTGAGATGGCAGTACAGCAATCGAGTTAGGGTTGTTACTGAGGCTTTAAATATGTCTGCATATCTGACTGGCATAACAAAATGAAGAAATACATCTCCAGTCTGAAGAGTTTTATACCTAATTATCAAAAACATCTTTATACCAACACCCCAGCTGTAGTTTCCTATTATTCACCCAATGAGAGTACCTACTCCCAAAATCAAAGGGACTCTTGTTTTCACAAACACTTCCAACAATGGCTGGGTCCCCCTGACAGGTGAGCCAGGGTTCCTCTAGTGCAATAACTGTCTTATCTTTTGTAACAGGCATCTTTAAAAAGCCTCAAACTGGCATCCTCTGTTACAGGCCCATAAATAATGCATGAATAGGAGAGAACTGTTTATATGGCTATTAGTCAAATGTCAAATTCAAGTCGTGAAACTGTCAGTGTTTTGCAAAGACAAATATCAACAGCACATAACTTAAGGCTGAAAATTTATATTTGAATTTCTCAGTGCCAAATTATTATGGCTGAGACAACAGAGACTGCAGAATTTCCAGTGATCCTATTACAATATTAATACACCTGGGGTCTTTTTGTTTTCTTTTTTTTTTTTTTTTTTTTGCTTTGTTTTGTTTTGGCAGGGCCTATTCTTCAGCTGTGTGTGTTCACTCACTGATATACCGTCTGTTACAAACACTGAATAATTGAGTGCTTCTTGCAGCTTACCTTTCCAGGCAAACAAATTAATTCATCTTGTCTCATGTTACTCTATTCTGGAGTTCGGCTTGCCTATAAAAGGGCCGTGGAGACCTATGTTAGGCATTCTCACCTTGGATCTGGCTGGGTGGGAATAAAGACAAGCAGAGGCAGTCAATGAGCTTGACCTCTGCTGATTTGACTTCACTATTAAATGAAGATCTCACTGTCAGGAAGCTGCAGAGTTTATGGACATTACCTTAATGTTTCCCAAAATCAGTTATCCTCTGGCAAAATGTAGCTGGAATGATGATCCATTAAATCATTTCATCTACATTTCAAAGTAAGAGCAACCATGGCACTTCCCGCTTCTCCCTAGATATTCATAGCTTCATGTGTAACTTCATGACTCATCACATACTGTGGACTACAGTATTGTAGTACTCGAGTCCAGGACTCGGACTTGAGTCTGACTCAAGTCCAGCTTTTCAGGACTTGTGACTCAACTTGGACTCAAGCATTGACTGCATTCAGACTCAGAAAATGGAGATCATGAGTTGAGCTTTTTGTTTTTTTTTTTTGTAATAGGCCATATAAATTTGGCATAAGATACTGGTATTAAAACCAGTCCGCCCGCACCATGCTGTATCTGGCACACTTCCATCAACCACACACTCTGTGTTAATTAAAAATTATTTTTATGTATCAAAATGCTGAGCAATATGATGATGCCACACACTGTTAGATAGTCTGGAATATAAAATTTAGAGAATCTGTGTTTAATGTAGACTTTGATGACTGACTCGGGTAATGTGGACTCGACTTATTATTCTTTGGTTGCTCTGCCTTGACTTAGACTTGAACACTGGGGCTGGAGACTCCACTCAGACTCCAGGTTTAGTGACTCAGCTACTACACTGGTGTGCTAATGAAATGACTCAGTGGATGAATATTTCAGTATCACACACAATTACTTTAAGAATCCTGGAAATTACATGTTCAATTGTTCATGATTGTACTATATTTGAAAAGGTATGAGCCAAAAAAACGTTTTGAATTGATTAAAAATAATAACAAACCATTCATCTTCAGCTGCTCCTTCAGCTGTTAGTGGGATCATACTGCCACCTTGTGGATTACAGCTTGATAGCTGTGACAAAAATGAATGAAAAGACCTCGTTTCATTTAATCATTGTGTCTCAGATTTTAAACTTTGTCTTAAAACACATTCTTATAGATTTCGTCTTGTCTGGCCCATTGATATAAACACCTCTCTTTATATTCTTGTTTTGATTAGATTTGTGCAGCTATTTGATGGGGTTCTATTTTACCCTGTTATTTTCGTTTTTCAAGTGTGATTGTCTTTTTATGTTGCCACTCTCACTAGAAAGCTTTTGTGCTCTTTTCTTGAAAAGTGCTGTATAACTATCATTAGCTATTTTCAGTGCAATATTATAAAGACACATGCTCTTCATTCCATTGACACTTTGTCTTTCTTTGTTCAACACTTTCATATTATTTACTCATCTTACTGCACATCATATTTTCCCTGTCTTTATAGAGTATACATTTCAGTAAAATATTTTTAAGCTTTGTTTGTTGCTCAAGCTAAAGAACCAATAATATAGACACATTAAATTGTTATATTGGGCTTCACTGGATTTTTAACTAATAAATAAACAAATATTCTGCTTCACTGTTACAAATGAAAGAAACGTAGCCTAAGTGGATTTCTCTGAGATAAACGACAACAAAATGAATAGCCTACATATTTTATATACATAGTTTATATCAAAGGGAAGATGGAGAAGTACGTGCGTTGTAGGCCTGCATGTTTTCGCACTCACACGCAGCTCTGCCCTGGTTTTGTTTGGCGTCCCCATAGTATCAGTCATGAGGGTGTGGCGTCTCAGGAGTGGAATTTCACTTCCTGTATTTCTCAGGTGAATCACCTGGGTCGTGCCGTCGATTGCTTAGGTCTTTGTCGACATTAAAGAGATCATTCTCGTCTGAGACTTTCGGGGCCGGAAAGGGGCAGTTCGGATTGTGTGAGACTTTGTGGAAGTTCTGATCGATTTCTGGGTCAATATCAGGAAGTCAGGAGGAGTCTTCCCACTGCAGGGTGACAGCTGAGAGAAGGCACTTTGTGGCTTTGCCATCTCGCGGCCTAGACACTCCACGTAGAAGCTGACTTTTTAAAATCACAAGTTCTGTTATTTACTCTTACAGGTGAACTCTATAGCACTTAAAATGAATGTACTCTTTAAAGGACAGCTGGGAGCTTTTGTGCTCCTGTTTTTTATGTTATCTTTTGACCCCACTGGCAGCCAGGAAACTGGTGAGGAATGCTTAGCCAAATTCAAAGGTGGTCGGGAGAATTTTGTTTTGGATACGGATGAATCGGTGAAAGACGGAGCGACGTTCCTTTCGTCACCGAAGTTGGGTCGATGCAAGGACTGTGTGAGCGCTTGTTGCAAGGAGCCGCGGTGCAACCTCGCATTCATGGAGAAAGGAAACGAGGAAGGCTTGATCAATTCCTGCTTTCTTTTTGACTGTGTGTACAAAAAGGCATACGCCTGTCGCTTTGTTAGGAAGACAGGATACCTTAACTACATCCTGGACTCCGTTTATGAGAGTTATCTTGAGGTGGATGTCTTCCCAGGTAAGACCTAACTCCTACCAGCATATATTCATATACACACGTGGTCATCGCACTTGTTTTTATTTTTAAAGCCTTTATCATACCTAATCTGTAGCATCACCATGTAGCAGCGTGCATAACTGAATAACTATGTGTTGGGATGAAGAGCTGACAGTGTATATAGCATAGCCAGCATTTATCATATCTGTGTTTTCTCAATAACAGAGAAGTTCAGGTTAAAGCAACTGGCCCTGCTTTGAAAGCCAAAGGAATCTGAGAACATATCATTAAATTAACTTTTAGTTTTGTATGCCAGTCACTCATTAACAGAGAAAATTCAACATTGTCAGTGAGTTCACATATCACTGTCTCCTAATGCTCAGCAGTAAAACATAGTTTCTTATCAGAGCACATTTAGAACTTGTCCCTTTAGCATGTTCACACATGCCATGGCGGCCCCTGCTATACAGGTTCAGGTTTCTGTTTCTGTGTTTGCCTGTTTGGGTCTTGCAACTCTTTTTTTATATCTGGTATTTTAGTCTATCTACTGTATGCTTAAGTTACTGTAGAGCATATATGTGATGTACATTAACCCCACTGTGTCTTTCCAGAGGAATCTGACCATCCACCAGTGGCCAATGGAGGACGGGACCGGGTGGTCCAGCCTCAGGACAGTGTGACATTAAATGGCATAGAGAGCAAAGATGATCAGGGGATTGTGGCCTACCACTGGGAACTGCTCACTGATTATCCTTATGCTCTCATTGAGGTGAATGAATGGCAGTGATAATTTGTTCTTTCTGAGAATCCTATTTGGGGAAATTTAGAAAAAGAAAAACCCCACCATACTCCTGGAACTACTATGAACCCTTCATCTGAGTGTCTGATGCTTGTTTATAATGTTTGCCGTGCTGTTATTTATTGTGCCTGTCACTTAATTGAAAATCCACTGACATTGATATACACACTGCATTGTCTTTCCATGCCTTGTAGAAAACCAACTTTCCAGACCAGATTATTGTGTCCAATCTGACATCTGGATCGTACAAGTTCCAGCTGACTGTCACAGACACCGTCGGCCAGACCGACTCAACCAAGATCACTGTCCTGGTCCTTACTCCTGAGCAGTCCAATCGTGAGTATCAAGAATAGAGGAAATGATTGGTAAAACCTCAGCGTGATCTGAAAAAATGTCATTTGCGCTGAACATCTTGCTCTTGTATTTGAATGCAAAGAACATATTTCATTCTTTTGGCCAGAACTTGTGTAACATGAACTTGACAACCTGTAAATCCAAGTCTAAATTAACTCAGAGCTGGTTGTTTGTGAGTTTCTCTGCAAGTGTAGACTCAATGGGGGCATTTGGCAGGAGAAGTGGATTAGTATCAGTGGTAAATATGAGTCATGTGTGCACTGCGTGTGGTGAAGTTTCATTTGGCTTATTCAGCATCACCTGCTTTGTAAGATAGGCTCATACCATTTGTATCAAGTCTTTTTTTTTAAGCTAGCCTAAAAGGATTTGTTTCAGAGGAATCAACACAATTGTTGCTCTGGTATTGTTTTGTATTTGTCACAAGGAAAAGCTGTTCAGTGGTAGTTGGGATCAAACCTGTCTAGGCATGCTCGCTCGATTCCTGTGGACTGAATGATGAAACATCATGAAGATGGCGAGATAAAATGTTATAAGATGATTAGACCAGATTGCTTGTTGTTGGCACTGTATCAAACAGTTGAAATATTGAACTAGATATTTCTTTGTCATGGAAGAATGGTAAATCATCATCTGGCATCGTATCAAGTATCAAGGCCACTTCCTGAATGCCACAATAAAGCTTTCTTGCACATTTATGTTTGGGGTTTCCTCAGAAAACGGAAATGAACCTTGTAATTCTTCTAGTTTTTACTGCTACTATCCCACACTCTCCTCCCTTGACTTAAAGAAACCTGTCAGTCTGGTTTTAGTTTGGGTTTCATAAACAGGAAGACTGTAAATCACCATTGTGATCCTCTTCAGTGCTGATTAACAGTCTGAAAAAGTTATCCTTTAAAAGTACTTATTTCACTCAGGTCTGTATTCGCCAGTTGAATATAGTTTGAAGGACAAGAGAAGGCTTTTATGCAGTCACTGGTTCAGTCACCCATTAACAGCTTATGTCCTGGGTAGAATGTGCAGCAGTGGAGTATGTGTGGGCATGGCAGTGACTCTACATGTCATTGCAGCCATATTACACACACCACAATAAAAACAACTCTATTTACGAATGCCAGTGAAGGACAATAATAAAGGAACTTGATAGTGACAATGCAGCTTAGAATTCCTTGTACACTTTTACAGTCAGGGACTTCTTTATACGATCTCAACATAGCTGTATTGTACATGAATGCATAGGATGCATCATCAACCACATGCAGACAACTCTCTAACCTCACTGTCTGCTGAAACACACCACTTCTGTTTTTTTTTTTCTTGGTTGCATTTCTCTTTGCAGGACAACTTCTTGTGTAATTATATATGTCTACTCAAAAGACAGACCTAGAGAATAGGAGCTACAAAAGAATTTCACCAAATCTGGTATGAGATATGAGACAACTGTTAATGGTTAGTCAAACTGGTTCATGGACTTGAGACAACAAAAGTGTTGCATTGTTAAGTGTCTAATGAGGCCATCTGATGTAGACCGATCAGGCATAACATCATGACCACCTGTACAGGACATAGTTAAAGGTGGTGGTGTACTGGACTACATTATATATCAGAGGTGTTCCTAATATTCTGACCCTCTCATGTATGTCAATGGGCAGGACAAAAATATACAGACACCCCTGAATGTACTGTAGTCCAGTACAACACCACCTTTAATTACGACCTAAATATTGAACATATAATTGAATTTATACATTTATGACAATCTCACCAAAAGCTGAAGCATTTTGAGCTGCATAAACAAATGTTAAGGCAGAAGTGTTGCATTGAAGTGCATACAGATTTACAGGTGGTCATAGTGTTATACCTGATCGGTGTATATTAAATAAGCATTTCAGAGTGCACTGACAACTTTGATCATTTATAGATTTTACCGTCACTAAGACTTAGTGAGATTCTTGGTGCTGGTTTTCCACATTGCCAAACCACCATATGAAAGTTAATGGACTGAATTTCCTCTTTAAAGTCACAAAGAAATGGCATTTTAATGTCTTGTTACAGCAAATGAGATGGTGAGATTTGATGTGTATAATCCTTGTGCCGTAACCATGGATTTTAAGAGGGTATAGTCAAAATGATTTTAATTAAATGGGAATCAAACCTAAACCTTTATTTTGTGTACCTCCAGACCATTGTATGGCTCCAAAGAAGGTTGGGCCATGTCGCGGTTCTTTCCCTCGATGGCATTACAACGCTGCCTCAGAGCACTGTGAGGAGTTCACATTTGGGGGCTGCAGGGAGAATCTCAACAACTATCTCTCCATGGAGGAGTGCACCAATGCCTGCCAAGGTTCAGGTATCTGTGCTCCGTAAAAAGTTTATGCATCTTTTGCTGGCTATTGTTTGTTGTGAAAGGGTGCAGTCATTGTGAAAATTTGTGCAGGTTATGCAGGGATGGAAAATGGGAAATTGGGCCCCTGGGCACAGACAGGTAAAAGGCCCCTCACCCCTTCTACCGTAATTTGCGGACTATAAGCCGCACCGGACTATAAGCCACATCCACTAAATGTAAGACGATGTTATACATAGCCGCAGGTGTCCACGTTGTAACATAAGATATTTCGAGAGCCAGATCGATCGCCTGTAACTTGAAACGGCATCATATACATTTCGTCATGTGTTGTCCATGATGAGGGTGTGTGCATGAAGCGACAAAAGTAGCAGCTTATAGTCCGGAAAGTACAGTATATAGGAACATGAGTCATTTTGTGTGTTTTTGTAGCCGTTCTACGTCTCTTTATAGTAGTCTTGCATCCCATTTTGATAGCTGCATGTCTCTGTGCCGTCCCTTTGTGTGTGTGTCTCTCTCTCTCTCTCTCTCTCTCTCTCTCTCTCTCTCTCTCTCTCTCTCTCTCTCTCTCTTGTCTCTTTAGAATTGTTTTACATCCCTCTGTGGTCATTTTATAATTCTGGTTGTTTTGAGTCTGTTTGTCATAGTTTCAAATTCATTTGTATACATACAGTATGTATAATGTCATATACATATAATGCTACAGCCAGCAGATAGTTAGCTAACCATGCTAGCTGTTTACCTAGCTAAACAGCTAGCATGGCTCAGTTCATGCTAACAAAAGCCACCTCCAGTACCTTTGCAGGTTATTAAAATGTCATATCTTGCTTGTTTAATTTACTTAAACACTACACTGTAAAAATGGCACAGTTTGGTTTTATGGTATATTTTGTGATGTACTACTTCTGCCTTGGGTCAGCGACTTGGAGTTGCCGGGTAAATGGTTTCTTGGTAAAGGTGTTTGTAACAAATCATTTAATTTTAACATCTCATTGTTTGTTTGTTTCAGAAAAAGGAGGCAAATCTGGTAGAATTTTGCCACTTCCTGAGCATCAAGGTAAGTGAATTCTGATATTTGTTTCAATAAAAAATAGCTTTGTTCAATAAGTTGATGAAAATTTGTTGCTGCAAATGATGCATGCTAACTGTTCTTCGTGGGTGAACTTTTGTAAAAGGAATGTTCCTGTCCTTCCTCGATTTTAGAAGATAAGCCTGGTCATTTTCTATTTTAATAGTATTTTCAGCAATCTCGATACAGAGACTAAAACCACCAGTGAATTACCTCTACTTGGGTTAACGTCTGTCAGTCCTGGATTAGCTTGTTTATTTGTGTGATAGATCTCCATTGTTGTTCAGAAACACTTAAAAACACATCAGGGAAACACACTGGTGCACTGGGTGGCATTGTTTGTTTGTTTTTGTTTGTTTGTTTTTTTTCTTTCAATACAAATCCCCAGACCTGACTGTGTTGTCCCAAAGGGTCTGTGTGGCCATAATTTCCTGAAGTTAGCACGAGGCAGAGTCAACTGCACATGCGTTGGCTCTTCCATGACCTCTCTGCTTGGTTTACCTTTGCTGAAAATACTATTAATATAGAAGAGGACAGCCTTATCCTTTAAGGTATATCCTACCTACTTTTAATATGAGGTAAGCAAAGAGCAGAAACAACATGTACATTACCAAATTTGTACATTCTAGTATATCTGTAATCAATTCTGCTTTATATGGTAATAGTGTTTGCAAACAATGGCTTATTTACACCTCATTATGGTGTGATATTAGCATTCATTTGGAGTTGTGTTTCTGGTCTTTAACTTCCAGATGTTCCACTGTGTTCACCAGGAATTATTAACTGTGTCTGTTTGCTATTTAGTGATGACCAGGTAGTGCATAGTGGGTTTTTAGAACTTTTGTACTGAAAAGAGCTGCCGCCTTATAATTGTTTGTTTTTATAATTATCATCATAAATGTTCAGTTATAGTCACTTTAAAACAAACCTGCGTGCAGTACAAGTGACACTTTCCTTTGTGTTTGTGTGCCACAGTAGAAAAATGTGGTGCTTCCTGTACTGAAGAGCAATTCACCTGTGCAAATGGTTGCTGTTTGGATCCAGGCCTGGAGTGTGACTCAACCTCACAATGCACCGATGGCTCAGATGAGCATAAATGCGCAGACTGTATGCAGTGACTATGCTTCATTTTAGGCTCATTCAGTTATAAATGGAGAAATGATAAGACACTGATAAAATATAAAATGCTTCCTCAGAAGACGTGCTGACTTTTTGTCTTATGTCCAATAGATGACAGCAATTTTCGCATTCTGCTGCAGATTCCAGTGGATGAACAAAAAGGTGATTTGAATGTTTTTGTAGACTTAACAAAAATTTCACCTCAGTGATTGTTGTAATTGATAATAGATGTACACCACTTTGCTGTCCATTTGCAGTGTTTAAAATCTCATTCTAACTGTGTATTTGTTATTGTACAAAGTGCGTTGCACAGAGCATCCCGACACTGGAAACTGCAGGGACAGTGTCACTAAATGGTATTACAACCCGGTCCAAGGGAGCTGCTTCCGCTTCAATTACGGTGGCTGCCAGGGAAATGGGAACAGGTTTGATTCTGAAGAGTCCTGTCAGAGAGTCTGCCATGGCGTAACAGGTGGGTTGTTGTTAACGTTAAGAGGCCATTTTACACTGTGTAGAAACACAGAATCCCACAAATCCCATACACAGTGGTGAGAGGCGTCACACAAGACACATGAAAGTGGTACATTTTTTCCCACACTCATTCTTCAACCAGTCCATTTTCCAAACACATTCTCTATAATAGTTAAGAATTTGTTGATGCAGTGGTTTGTTTGGGTCTGCATTCTCGCCTACTGCTATCTGAGTGGTGCCAACATTTCCTCAGGCTGTTTTCTTAGATTGTTTTTTTTAAAACGCTGTTAATTGTTGCATGCAATGGCGAAAGGGGTTAAATGGGGAACATCTCAGGGTTCTTTTTGCTAGCAGCTGTTTGCTAACAGCTTCAACATATCATCTTGCTTCTGCTGCCCCCAAGTTGCTAAAAAAATCAGTCATTGTTGAATTTCCTCTTTATGGCCAAATGTGCATTTGTTTTTAATGCAGGTATATTATGTACCACAAAATTTTAAAACTATATCATGTCTTTTGTTTTCAGAACAGGATGTATTTGCAAGAAAAGAGGAGTTTGACCGCAGTGTGTCCAACAAACAGACAGGTACAATATATTACCCTTATTTTTTGCATTCTAAAAACTGTCTACTCCATCAGCTTTGACTTCCAGTGGGTTCCTGCTGTACATTAAAGCTGTCAAAGCTTTGCTCTCTACCAGCACACTTTTAAGTTCACTGAGTTGTCGAAAGCACCATTTGATTTTAGTGATCTGTCTTCTTGGCTATGCAGCCGTCCACATGCTGTCTTGAAGTTTCTAAATGTATTCTAATTGATTTAACAGGTATTTTAGTGATAGCTGCCCTCCTGGGTGTAGCTATTGTCATCCTTCTAGGCATCCTGGTGTACTGCTTCATGAAGGGAAAGAAGAAGTCTTCACAGCACCACCGTGTGCCTGTCAACAATGCTCCAGTAACCTCAATGGAGGACAGAGAACGGCTGGTCTACAACAGCACCACCAAGCCCATCTGACCTATAAGGTTTCACCTTTGACCCCTGTGCTGATGGTAACTGACACTGGCATATAATGGCATATAATGAACAAACTGAGATTGATGAAACAGGAAACAATCTGTTGACTACATTTGAATGCTCAAGGGGCTCTGTTTTTATTTTGTCCATATATGGATGTGTTTTTAAGGGTGATGTGCACAGAACTGTCTGTCTGCTGTCAGACTGTCTTCAGCGATGAAATGTGATGTCTAATGATTTGAATTTTAGCTTTTTTTAATGCAGTGGTTTGTTAAAATTAGTTGTTGGATAATTGTACTCAGGTAAAATGGGATGCATTTTCATTTGTGCAAAGGGAGATTACCACTGGATATCATATATGTTCTCACTGGATCAGGTTTATAAATATGTTGTATTATACCTGCTTCCTTAATCTTCAGTGACTAACAATTTCATAATAAAACCACTTTTAATGTCAGACAATTTAGTCTTTAGTTACTAGGTCTGTGCCAGTATATTACTTAAAAATAAGAGACTAGATTCTTTGGCATTTGACCGTGATCCCTTCAACTTCCCAAAGTCCTTCCACACCAGCTTCTTCACTTTGTTAGCTTTGCTTTATGCACCACTGTTACACATTCCATTGGATCATAAATACATACATAATGTTGTACATAATCATAGATATTTCACAAAATAATATTTTATTTGAAGGTTATTTTGTCAATTTTTTCAGAAGTGTTTTAGAACAAGCATAATGGATACATTAAGTAATGTTTAATGACAACTTATATTGAACATGATAATCAACATTTTATACAGTTTATCTAAGACTTGCCCATATGACTATTGATTTCTGTAACATTACCAGTATCATGTTTATAATAAAATATAAACTCAACTTTCTTTGTTTTTTTTTTTTTGTTTTTTTTTTTTTGCAAGAGGCCACTTTATTCTTACTGTCACAAGTGCACTAACCACATTTCATGCATCGTGCTATTATTTTCAGACACTTAACTCGCTGACATGATTGTCTCAAATGTGGTTGATGTTCACATGCAACTTTATTTTTTCCTTATCAAATATTTCATTTAACACATTTGTGATAGTTTTCAGTGTCAATCATTTTTGTGGTTCCTAGTTTTTATATGAATATAATATTTAGTGACTTTTTTCGTGCCTCTTTCCAGCAGGTGTTCAAAGTTACTTATCTATAGTCTACTATGCATGTGTCTTGACATACCTTTGCTGTTTTGACACAATTCCCCTGTCTGGAGTCAGTAAAGGTGACCATATCTTTAAACAGTCCTTGGTTTATATAGTAGGCTACTTAGAAAAGAACTTCTACTATTATTCTATTTGTATATTGACATTTAACAGACTCTGGTTCCCATCTAACCCTTTTCTCTGTGAGCCTGGATATCCTTGATGTTGCAAATATCTGTCATTTCTGTTGTTGTTCAACAGTTGCTTTTCCAGTTTAAACTCCTGTTTAAATTCAAAATGGAGACCACACACTTGACACACTAGTGTATGAATGGACCTTTAAACCTCTGTTCCAACACTTTAAACAGCTAATGTTATCACATTAGTCTGAGACAGAGATGAGTCAAACCAGTCCGCTAAACATGTCTAGCCGGCAGTAACAAATACACACCAGGGATACTTAAGATAAGCAAACAGTCACACAGTTTAGTTTTCTTACTTTCTAGCAGCCTCCCTCAAAGCCCAAATCTGTTTTTATTATTGTTGTGCCTCGGGTGACTGAACAGCTCACAATACCTGCATTTACTTATAAACGTACCACATGTCTGCAAGTACTTGATTTGATTAATACACAGTTGCTTTGTAGTGATGTCAGATAAATAGTAACCTTAATTATTATTAATTATTAATCAGTATCCCTTAATGACTTACTACCTTGTGATCTTTTACATGTGATGTGCAGCGGTTTTAACCTCAGATACAGCACACAGCAGCTGGGTTTAGACTAAACCACAGGTGCAGTTTATTCTGTAGACACACACTTTTACATGTATAGCAAAGGAAGCTACATTGTTAGCCCTCACCGTTATCTTCATTGGAAGAATCATGATTAAAAAAAAAAAATTCAAATGTCAGGTATGCACCATGTTACCTACACATTGCACAGAGACATTGTCATTTTTACCACCAGATGGAGACATTAGTTTGTTAGATGCTCACCTCAGCAGTATTTTCAGCCAGTTCAGCTTACTAACATTACAGAACTCCATCCTTTTCATTCGAAAATATTTGTTTTATTCAGAATCATTGATAAACCAAATCTTTTTTCTTTCTTTCAGCATTAAGAACAATAGATTTGCACATTACAGGCTACTGCTGCAAGTTCAGTCTATAACATCTGTGCAATGGAAGCTACATTTTCACATTGTATTGACTTTAAAAAAGTAACAATCTCCAGCACATTTCTTTCACATTTCCTGTATGGGGCTCTTAGGATAATCTCCAAGTGGAAAGAAGAGCCCCACTCTCTGTTTAAGCAGTCAAACATAAATTAGCATCACACAAATTATTCACTGGAGCCATATTTTGTGAGTCCCCCATTCTTCTGACCTGACCCTCATAAATGTAACTGGCAAATTGTAACCACAATTGTAAACCCAGCTGCTATTATTCTGATTTCTTCCATACGTTTTTCGGCACTTAATTTCTTTAACATACTTTCAGCTACAAAAGCCATTCAAGTATCAAAATGTTCAGCTTTTTAAGGACGTGTGCTTGTATTTTTCTTGTTTATAACTTTTATACTTTTTCATATATTTATTGTTTTTCAGCAAATTTTGCCCTGTTCAAATGAATGGGAAAAATTTTCACATCTTAATAATTTCAGCATACCTTCAGACTAGCCCTGGGGACATGGAATGTCACCTCGCTGGTGGGGAAGGAGCCCGAGCTCGTGCAGGAGGTTGAGAGGTACCGGCTAGATATAGTCGGGCTCACCTCCACGCACAGCTTTGGCTCTGGAACCTTACTCCTCGAGAGAGGCTGGCTCTCACTGCCGTTTGTGCCTATGGGCCGAATGGCAGTGCAGAGTACCCAGCTTTCTTGGAGTCCCTGGAAAGGGTGCTGGAAAACGCCCCGACTGGGGACTCCGTTGTTCTACTGGGGGACTTCAATGCTCACGTGGGTAGCGACAGTGACACCTGGAGGGGCGTGATTTGGAGGAATGGCCCCCCAGATCTGAACCCCAGTGGTGTTCTGTTATTGGACTTCTGTGCTAGCCACAGTTTGTCCATAACAAACACCATGTTCAAGCATAAAGGTGTCCATCAGTGCACGTGGCACCAGGACACCCTAGGCCAGAGGTCGATGATCAACTTTGTGGTTGTTTCATCTGACCTCCAGCCATATGACTTGGACACTCAGGTGAGGAGAGGGGCGGAGCTGTCAACTGATCACCACCTGGTGGTGAGCTGGATCCGATGGCAAGGGAAGAAGCTGGACAGACTCGGCATACCCAAGCGTATTGTGAGGGTCTGTTGGGAATGTTTAGCAGAATCCCCTGTCAGAGAGATCTTCAACTCCCACCTCCGGCAGAACTTTGACCACATCCTGGGGGAGGTTGGAGACATTGAGTCCGAGTGGACCATGTTCTCCGCCTACATTGTCGATGCGGCCGTTCGGGGCTGTGGCCCTAAGGTCTCCAGTGCCTGTTGTGGCGGCAATCCCCGAACCCGGTGGTGGACACCGGAAGTAAGGGATGCTGTCAAGCTGAAGAAGGAGTCCTTTTGAGCCTGGTTGGCTCATGGGACACCTGAGACAGCTGACAGGTACCAGCAGGCCAAATGAACTGCAGCACGGGTGGTTGTGAAGGCAAACACTCGGGTCTGGGAGGAGTTCGGTGAGGCCATGGAGAACGGCCTTGAAGAAATTCTGGAAAACCGTTCGGCGCCTCAGGAGGCGGAAGCAGTGCCTTGCCAAAACTGTTTACAGTGGAGGTGGGCAGCTGTTGACCTCAACTGGGGACATCGTCAGACGGTGGAAGGAATACTTCGAGGATCTCCTCAACACCGGCGTCATGTCTTCCGATGAGGAAGCAGAGGCCGGGGGTTCAGAGGTGGACTCGTCCATCACCCAAGCTGAAGTCACTGAGGTAGTTAAGAAGCTTCTCGATGGCAAGGCATTGGGGGTGGATGAGATCCGCCCTGAGTACCTCAAGTCTCTGGATGTTGTGGGGCTGTCTTGGCTGACACGCCTCTGCAACATTGTATGGCGGTTGGGGACAGTGCCTCTGGACTGGCAGACCGGGGTGGTGGTCCCTCTTTTCAAGAAGGGGGACCGGAGGGTGTGTTCCAACTATAGGGGGAACACACTCCTCAGCCTCCCTGGGAAAGTCTATGCCAGGGTACTGGAGAGGAGAACTCGACCGATAGTCAAACCTCGAATTCAGGAGGAACAATGCAGTTTTCGTCCTGGCCGTGGAACACTGGACCAGCTCTATACCCTCTTCAGGGTGGTGGAGGGTTCATGGGAGTTTGCCCAACCAGTCCACATGTGTTTCGTGGATCTGGAGAAGGCATTCG